GATCAACCTCTCGCCCTCGTCCCTCCTCCAGACCTACAACACCTCTGCGGCCAGGTTCGCGGAGCTCGATTCGTGATTCTCATGGATTTGGAACAAGTTGGAACCAAGATGGCATCTCTCAAGCCGCTGTCAATGCACTAGAACCCCAGTTTGCGGAATTGGCGGATTCCATGGCAGATCTCGAAGCCAATTTTATGTATCTCCAGCTGATGCATGAGAGCTTGTCACGATTTAATGAGTGTTTCGCTAGCTTCTTGTACGGACTGAATATGAATGCGTTTTGTGTTGACTTTCCTGAGGTATGGTTGTTATATTGTTTATATTCCCTTAAGGAGAACTCGGTGTTAACTAGTGCTACGTTGGTTCAGGCGCCTATTCCAGATTCCTTCAAAAGAGCAAAACAAGCAGAAGGTCAGCCAGAGTTGGACAAAGCTGAATCCGACCACAAAACCGTCTTGTTGAATAACAGTGTTAACGTTTCTGTTATCAGATTCTATGCCTGCGAATGAGCCATTGACAACAACGGAAAATGACGCTGAAGCGACTTTCTTGTAAGCCTCCCAATATCTATTTCCTTGAACTGGGATTACCGAGGTGCCCTATGGTTGATAGTTTGCTGATCAATTAACTACTTTTAGAACTTCTGATACATCGTTTGTTGACCACCCTCCCACATCTACCAAATCAACCTCAAAATATTCAACCCCCGCTCCCTCCAACCGCAACACCAGTACTTCTAGTCGAGGTGCCATTGGCGGCCTCTATTCGACTAGGGGCTCGACAAGGAGTCGCTCCAGTGGGCTTGCAAAACCTAGAGCACGTGGAATCCGATAACGGAAGAGCATTCTTAGCAATTTGTCTTTGAACACCGGTCTTTCGAAGAACTCCTTCCGGCGGTCTAAGTCTGCTTTTTGAGGGATAATTGAGCCGTATTCCCTATTAGTTACGGAGTCGACAAATTGCAGACTCGTTTCTACCTTCTATTGTGTCGACCGCAAATCTGCCACCAGAAGTGAATGGAGGGAAGGTGACTCCGTGGGTGATGTTGAAAATGACTGTGGAGATGGGAACGATAAGGTCCAAAGCTCGTGATTCACTGCTACAATAATCCAGTGTTTATGATGCTACTTGGATGAACCCAAGCAGGTACTCTACCAGGTTACAGTTTGCACTATGGGTAAGGAAGTATATCATGCTGGTATGGCAAGTGCTGTGCCTATGCACAGTCCATTCAACAAGAATGTTCACAATGGCCACACGAGAACCTGACACACTCTCTAGACTACTCTTTCTTTTTCTCCATTTCATGGATGATAAACTGTCCATTTTTCAGGTGGGGCATGAATGTTGATCTTGGGACTTGATTAGATCCTGGGCGTTCTGCAGGCACCAAAGTTTATTTTTATTAGACGACGTTGGGATTTGGCAGCAAAATAAATTTGACACCCCCATAAATGGTAGCATCTACAGTATTAATAGAATCCAAAAAACTATACCCGTAGATCTCTTTAATTCAACGGAACTGAAGGCTATATAAAATTCGTGAAATATCCAGGTGGTTGCGGAAACTCATCATGGTGATGTTGACGAAATAGCGGTTTTGGTAGTCCCGGTCTCAACAACACGACGAATCTTAAATGCTCCGAGTAAAAGTTACTACCAACCATGACGACAACAACGCTCCAAGGTCAGCCTTTCTCACAACACACACCCACCCCCCGATATCCCCCCACAATTCATTGCCTAGGTACTGCTATACTTTCGTATACCATCCTCATTCATTTCACTCCTTTCATATCGCCTCATTTTTTCCACCTTGTGCTTGCTGTGCCGTATGTAGCTCAGCTATCATACGTCGAGAGCACACACACCCACACCGAGCACAGGAACATTTTAAAGCGCCAAGCTCTTTTACCTGATAGATATCATCACCCATTCCGACCCCTTTCCGTCCTCTCATTAAACAAACAAAAGTCCCTTGATGCGATAAGAAGGGGAAAAGACTTGTCAAGCCATCGACATCAAAATTCTTGTTGCTCACTGACTCTACTTGACGACGCAACCTTTTAGATTTGCGGAACACGCCTTCTTATTGAACGATAGGGCCGTCACTATCTTTTCACATCCCGTTCATTCTTTTCAAGAGTTCAATTCATTTGGCTGGCTGGCCAGCATACTCTACTGCATTAAGGATTGCCATTTAGCATTGATAGGGAATAACTGTTTTCACCGAATTCCCTTGTACGCAGGGCTTTCGCGGGTAAATTCTCAGCACATCCCGGTGATTTGCTATTAGAGATCCAGATATCTCTAGAGACTAAGACCGGTCACTTGTCTTTTTATCAGTATCTTTCAAGATCCCCTACCAAGGGACAGAAAATATCGCGATGTCGTATCCCGAATTTGGATGTGGTATGATCTCTTCTTTCTTCCCCAATCCATAGCTGCGGCAAAATACGTAGAATACTTACAAGCTGTTCAGAGCACCTCCGGGAGGTCCTAGAGAGAGACGAAAAAGCTGCGGGCCAGTTCCACCAATCTCTCCTCCAAGCACATAATGGAACAACCTCCAAAGCTGCAGAAATAAGGTCACTGAGGCCCATTTATGCTTGTTTGGAATGCTTGGCTGTCTGTAGAGCGGGGAATCGATATGCTCATTATGAGAATTTTGGTCACAAATTTTGTGGGTGTCATCTGTTGTTTCCTCGGAAAAGTCATCCTTTGCAACCTATTAATTGTTCTGGACATATTTTACTAGTCACGGATTCTCGAACCAGTGCAATATTCTGCCTGGGATGCGATGATTATGTGTACGATACGGAATTGGAAAATTTCCTCTTTGACCCTTCCGGTTAGTCGATTAACAAATACCCATTTACCCTAACATGGCCCTCCTACAGATACCATCCCTAACATATTTAAATAGGAATATTAAAACGCAAATTCGATGACTCCGAGTCGGAGGAAGACCAAACCTACGTTGGGGCTAATGCTAGCAAGAGAGTCTGTGGGAAAGAAGGGGTTAGGGGTCTATTTAACCTGGGACAAACTTGCTATATGAACGTCATATTGCAAACTTTGCTTCACGATCCACTTTTGACTACATACTTTCTCGGAAATAACCATCTTACGTACGATTGCACGGTACAAAACTGTATAAGTTGTGCTGTTTCAGAGGCCTTCTCCGAATTCAACAACGATGAAAAGACAGAAGGATTCAGCGCACTCAATTTGCTGTTGGCATCATGGCGATCCAGTCCGGTAAGCTGTGTCGAATATCCTTTTTATCAGATACGATTTTAGAAACTTATGTCACCACCTTCACATAGATACTTTCTGGATATCAACAACAGGATGCCCATGAATTTTACCAATTTTTGGTCGACAAGTTGCATGCGGGTGCCAATGATCACGTCGAAGATCACAACAAGGCATGCCATTGTTTTTTTCACAACGCCTTTTACGGAAAACTGCGAAGTAGTGTGACGTGCGACAAGTGTGGGAATGTCACCCAGACGGAGGATCAAATGATCGACCTCAGTCTAGATGTCCAAGTCCAGAAAAAAAAGCGAGCACTTGGCGGGGGTGAATCAACCACGACCCCAACACTTGATGGCTGTCTGCAGAGCTTCACGTCACCAGAAAAGCTCATGGCGGACGCATACAACTGCGGTGGTTGCGGAGGCACTCCTCAGAAAGCAACGAAGCAACTCCGAATAAGAAAATTACCCGTTATATTGTGCATGCAGCTGAAGGTTAGTATTCCATAGGTTTCTTTTGGGCACTTGTGTCTCTCCAAACATTGTGTAGCCATTCTTCTGAAGGAAATTCATGACAGCGATTTGAACACACTCTTTCCGTCTCTGAGAAGGTAGAAGGGAAAGTTGACTTTCCGCTCTCGATCAATATGCTTCCTTACACTACACGGCCGTACTCCAGTACCCCCACCAACAACTCGGGTTATATCTATGATCTCTCTAGCACTGTCGTTCACAAGGGAAAACTTGATGCGGGACATTACTATGTGTATTGCCGACAGGGCGAGCAGTGGTTCTTGTTCAATGACGACCAAGTGACGGCAGTCAATGAAGCAGAGGTGTTGGGCGCCGATGCTTATCTGCTCTTCTACACTCTTCATGCCTTATCTAGGTTCAGCTGATCTTTCCACGTGGAACCACGTCGCATGAAACTTAGAACTATGCTTCTGGACGTTATTTTAATTTTCGCATTATTTTGTCATCTACCCACTCAGAGGAGGTTTCGATTTATTCCTCGCATTAGGATGCATACACTTCAGGTTTTCCAACCACGGTTTCAACCCTCTGCTGATCATCTCTTGTATCGATTATCTTCACAATCCCGGTTTTTTGATGCCTATGGGGCTATTTTTCATACTGTCATGTCAGTTATGCATTGCTATTTCTGGTCGTAGCCTTTATTATTTGATATATTTGTCATGAGCACCTCCTTTTGGACAGTTGTTTTTTATCCCTTCCTTGAAAGATCCTACCCATCATCAAATGTGCTGTTATCGATCCCGTCATAGCGCTTATTCATAGCAAAAGCAAATCATGCGATCAGATATATCGCGTTTACCCGAGTTCAGCTTCTCCAGTCCTTCCATTCCGTCACGTACAGCTTAAGTCACTCCATTACTCTTCAATTCTCTATTCCAAGGTTATTTTGAATATGACCAGCATGATACCCCACATTCATTTGCACATTAGATTGACTTGGCAAGGGCCCCGTAAAACTGGACTTTGCCCAATCAATCCTGGCGCGAGGCAGAACCGCGGCTGTGAGCGAACCTGTGTGATAAACCATGATACCGAGAATTCTTCTTGCAGTTCTTCTTGCATTCGAACATCAATTTCTTGTTCAGCTCTCAAGCATGAACTATTGACACAGCAGCGAAAAGTTGTGTTGCACATCTTGCCAGGAACCGAGACTCTTAGAACATTTACCCAGTGCTTCTCTTGACACTTCATTTCCAGGACGTAATGTCAGGCCAGCTGAGCGCAAGGGACCCTTTCCAGATGCTTAATTTCGATTGCATCAGCATCGTTTTCACATACTTGACGCCCATTGATGTCGTCCGATGCAGCCTGACCAGCCGTACGCTGAGAGAATGGTCACTTTCATTTATGAGCGGTGAAGGACTCAGATGTCACTTTCCGTATTCCACCGATACCGGCTCGTTCAAGAACGACACATTTGTACCCGCCAAACGGTATAGTCGTTTTGGTAAGTGTTCCGAATTACCCAGCATCGATCCCCCAAGTTAGTGCAATTCAATCGTTTCTAACTCAGCGTTAGCTCAGCTTCATCAATCTGTTAAGGAAGGAAGTCCCTCAACGGTCCTGAAATTTGGTGATTCTAGACCTTTGAAAGCTGTTGGGGCATTTGTGGTTTGGATCTCGAATTTATCCTCTTTCAGTGGTCCATATATCCGTTATCACCTCCTGAGAAACAAGTTTGGCGAGAAACATCGTAGTCGGATTCAACCAGTCAGGAAATTGAAGATACCAAACCTAGCTCCCTCTCACAGCTTCAGGGCGGAAGTTATCGATTTGAGCGCGGACGGATACCTGTTCATTCGAGGGACTGTGAAACGAAATTACCCATCATATCTCGAGTTCACTCGGTAGGTTGATTTTCTTTGGCTTGGAAAAAGAAAACCATGAAGCATTCATTTTCTAGTACATCGATATTAATATGGAAAATAGGGATCTAGTTTTTGCACTCGAAGGACCGAAGTTGCTGTGGTATCAGGATCGCCGCGACGATGAACTCCCCAAACTGTATCCGCTATACATTGGAAAAGAGCAGATTTATTTTGTCACGAAGGTCGATACACCAGAACTTATTGCATACAGCATCAAAACAGGACAACGCCTTTATTGTTCTATGCTACCTGGCCAATTCAGAAATAACACCAACCCATCCCTCTTCAGCTTTGTTCGTGATAAGGAAAACGAATTTCTAGCGCATGTATCACGAGTCCGTTCTCCATTCGTTTGCGTCACTCTGGTCAGCGGAATTGACGGTAAAGTTTCCCAAGAAATCAGGATTAAAGATGATCTATGGCCCTTGAAATTTCAAGGGCAGCCAAACGTTGCCGCCTTCGCGCTGGAAAGAAACCTGTCAAATTTTCTTGGTAAGGGTTTGGACTTGAAGCTTTTTGAGAAGTATTCACTTCAACGAAATGGGATGTTCACCATAGTGTCAAGGGATTTATTTATTGTGGAAGGCAGCGCAGCGGGCACTCAATATATTTATGTTGACCCTTTCAGGCATTTGGCGTTTGCTATGACTGATGCGACCTTTGAAACCACAATCCCACGCATACTAGAACCGAAGGAAATGTCGGATAAAAATCTCCGAAACGAGATTGGAGCTGTTATAAAACAGCATGGGGTTAACGGAAAGATTGACAGCTGGCTCACCTTGACTGCGGCAAACCGGATTACCCTGCCGCCAAAAACCGTCGGATCGAAACCTAGAGAACCATGGCTGGTTTGTAACACAACCCCCAACGACACCTTCAAACTTGGTTTTTGGGAAGAGCGAGGGTTTATGTTTAGCATTAACAGCTCCTCTGATAACTATTCAGAGATGACATATATTGTGGATTTCACAACAAAACCGAATCACTCAAATCCTGGAATATATGCAGCATAAGGGGTGGGACAGATGGCGAGTTCTTCGTTGATTCTCTGCGCGTAGGCTTCAATTATTACTTGATACTGGCCGTCGTTGAGCATTGCTGGTTATGTTGGAAGGGAAATTATATACCAGCCAGATCTGTCGGAGTTCGTTTGCATTATTAATACATACAAAGAAGTCTCAGAATGACAAAATTCGAAGATTTTGGTGAATGTTTTTTTTAAAAAAAAATCTGAACATGCCAGGGAATTGAAAATCTAATGCAAAGTTCATAATTAACTGAGCGAAAGTTGAGGAGCTGGAAGATCACTTGTGTGTGTAGTAGCATACAAATATGACAGACAACGTGCCCCTCCACTCCCCAAACATTCTGGTTAATCCTCGGTAAGGGGTCTTTTCCCTGATCATCATTTTGGTTGTTTGTTGCAACTCTGTTGATTGGTTTAGCTCTTCTCTGCTTGGAGAGATGAACGTTAACAGAATCTATGTGTCTAGAAACACCAATGAGATGAGCCGTAGAATTCACATAATGAATTCTATTACTTCTCTCTTCTCAAGCTTCTTGGAGGACTCTACCAATGTGTTCTTCGAATTACCGGAAGACAAGTCATCCGCCAAGGGGCAGTTTGAAAATATACAGTCACTGTCAGAGATCTCCACGAAGGGCAAAGGACCGACGATTAGTTATCTGGAGTGTTGGGAGGAGTTCGCCGTTATTCAGCTTAATCCTAATGGATTGAGGAGGGAGTTTCGGAGTGTTTGGGAGCTGGAAAAGGAGATTGAAGCATTCCACATTGCTACATTTCAATAGGGTGGTGGATGGTGATTGTGGACGAGTTTGGAATGATTCGTTGTAATGTCTGGAGTTGATCATAACTTGCGGTCACGAAATAGCATTATTACTGAAGGTAAAAAGTGGGATTGCAATTTTATTTCATTTTATAGGATAAAGGTTCAGCCCTTCTGCGAGGCATGAAACGACAAAAATGACCAGCCCCTTACATACAGTTGGCAACTCGACACCCTGAGTATTTCTACACTAGGAACTTCAACGATATGAAAACAGCGCGGGAGAGCCCGTTGATCCTGTCAAATCCTTTCAAAACTCGGATCAGGGAGGTCATATTAATATTTTTCTTTTGTTCTCTTGCTTCCCAAGTTGGAGACGCTGTCACTGGTCATCCAAGATACCCATAGGCGCTAAAGGCAGAAGTCATTCTCCCGGGTAACAACTTAAAACATTCTTGATGGCAAAGTATAAATAACTCTATCTCTTCCATTGTATGCTGCACTCAAGTAACCAACTCCGTGGCCAGTGCACTGTGCATCAACACAAATACATCACAACCTGGGACCTCAAGCTCTCATACACGAATAGCACCACCCATATTGCAGGGCCTAGCTCGTTTCACCGGAGACGATGTGCACTATGCTCTATGATCGTCAGACCTAATGACAGGTAACGAAGGAGGGCAATGGAATGGGGAGAGAGCGTGGAAGGGGAGGGAAAGCGTGGAGATGGTGGGAAGGGCTGTGCTCAGGCTATCTGTGGCCAGGAAGAGGCGTTGACGGACAGCTGCATATGAGGAGGACCTCGTGGTTATTCATGTAACGTACGTATATTGACATAACCTGGACAACGAGCGTATGGATAACTATTGGAATAGCATGTAAGCCGCTGAATCAGAGCTGAGAAATTTCATGTAGCTACATTGTTATAAGGGGGGGGGGGGGGGGCGGGTTTGTCAGCGAGTCTGGAACGATTATTCTTCGCCAATTTTAGAATCCCTCCCTCTGGTGCCCAATTGTTCTTAACGGGTTCCTGGCGAGCACGGGAAGTTCCCAATTCTGGATAAGAAAATAATATTTGCTAAAGAATGTACCCGAGCTGACCACCTTTTTTGCGTGCTAAGTCGTCGCCTCGACATCCGCAGATCGCGGGATGTTTAGACGGTAGCCATTCGCTGGGATAGCAAGCAATAATAATAATAATAGTCAACAGGGATGGGGTGTCCTGCTTCTTCGGACCCCGGTCTGTGATCTTCCAAAACCTCTCATTTCTTGCTGGATCAGTCGTTGAATGTGATGGGCTGCAAATGTGGGAGGGGCCGGCGGGGTTGAATGGGGCATGATGTTACGACATGCCAGCCAGCGACTCTCAGGACTCCACATGTTCTGCCGCTATTCCCATTGTTCTCCTGGCTGGTTAGTTAGCTGGTTAGACTTGGTTAGGTTGGTTATATTGATTACACGCGGTGCTAACTCGGTTGAAATCGTCATGCGTGGAAAAAAAAAAAAAAAAAAACATTTCGCTGCTCGGAAACCGGATGTGCCGATACCCCCGGATGCCAACGGAGTCTTCTTTTGTTGTTGTTACGATTAGAGTTTGGCTGAGCTTTCTAGGACTCTGCTCTCACGCGAATAACTAGTTAATCAAAACAACTTCTTCGCCGAGAGGGTTACGAGCTGATGAAACAAATCATCATGATCTGATATGATGGCTTGGTGTGAATGATATTCAGCAGTGTCTCTTCTTTCCCCTTGCATTAATCAATCCGGTCGTGGTACACTTCTCATCAGCTACATAGGTAGGTAGGTAAACCAGATGGTTATCCCTCTCATAGCATCCATTTCGCCCCCATCTAGTTAGTTAGATCAGATCCGATGACGAATTTCGAGTGGCCCAACCCCACCCCGCCAAAAGGAATAAGAAAAAGAAAGCAAGCTTCAGCAATAGCTCTCACGGGCTATCCGGCATTAAGACATGTGGTTGAAAGAAAGACTGCCGCTAACTGATCAACACCAACTAGCAACATATCCCCACTCATTCCTGCTAGCCAAAGGCCAAGGATGCCCTACCTGGTTGGACTTCCCTGTACGCTTTTGGTCTGGACCGAATTCATCATTGACAACAGCAGCATTTTCCAGTCCAGAATTTATACCTGTGGTACTATCTGCCTGATATAAGGAGCTGAGGCCAGTGACAAATAAGGGGGCTGAAAGGGTTGATTTCAGTTAGGATCAAGCTTGCTCAAAGCTTCCTATTTTCTAGCATGATTCCGTGAGCTTCAAAATATTGGGCATCAACGGAGGGATTGGAAACAATCAGGAGCGGCTCCGGTCGATCATAAAAAACTAAAAAAGACAAGACGGGATTTCCCAGCGAATTGGGTGAGAAACTTTTTAGGAGAACGAACGAAGATGGGTGTGGGACAGATCGAAAATACTGTGTTCAGTTCACATCGTCCGATGATCTCGTCGTCTTGGTGAATCGAAACGGTGAGATTTAGTGGCTTCTGCCATAGATAGAGACGGTGGTGACCTTAGACTGCCGTTAAATCCGACTTTCTCTCTTTCTTTCCCCTCCGATCTGGTGATTGTTTTCGCAATGGGCACTGGAAACAGTCGTTTGGCGGAGTTCACTGGAGTCACAGTTGGCGTTGATCCTTTCTATAGTTGGTAAACTACGTCCGTACGGACTGGACAGGTTATCAATCCATGGCCAATGGATGAAAATCTGCGCTTATCTCTCCGCGAACTCGTGAAAGAAATCTCAGCTGCAGACCAAGGCGAAAGAAAAAAGGTAAGCTTTTCTCCACAAAAAATTTGTTGGAGTTATGAAGCACCGCCCTCCCCTCCCAAGATACAAATAACTATAACTGCTTGCATTCACGAGCACCACGCTAGCAGTTACTGGATGGTATCAAAAGTATGTCTGTACCAACCTGTGGGTTGACAGCGGTAGAGACACATGCTGCCCGCGAAAAAACGAAAGCATAATTTAACCGGGAGAACGAAGAAAAGGTCAGATGATGGTCTGGCCCGTCCATTGCTGCTTGGGCGGAACCGTCGCATAGAGATGCATGAATATGTTGTATCTGTGCATCCACATTTAAACCCTCAACACGAGGACGGTGTCGATTATACGGTGTAGATAGTTATGCAATCTCGTTGCCATCCCTGCTCCAAGGGCGTCATAGTCAATAAGTATTTAAATACCTTGAATTTATTCTGCATTTCTCAAAGAACAAGACCTTTCTCGTAGTTAACTAACTCCAAGGGTAATTAGTAAAGCACAATTACTAATGAACAACAGGGGGGGGGGGGGGGGGGCATCCACATGTTGAACTAACCAATTAACAAATTCGCCCCCATCAGAACAGTTGGTAATAACTGAGCAAGCCCTGTGAAGTGGATCCATACTCCGTGCTCCGTAGCGGTTTTCGGATGCTGAACTATGTGATGAAAAGGGCAATATATACGTACATATACATATATATTTCATGGGCACATCGCAAGAGCTGAATAAGAATCACAAAATGAACCATGTCTGTTCCCTCCCCAGGCTGTGATGTGACGTGACGTGACCGTCCGGCAATTCACTGTGCCTCGGGGAAATCCATCAAGAGAGAGGCACATTTATATCTCTCAGCTTTCCAACTCTTCTTCTCTAACAGCATCGTAATTTTACACCACAGTTACAGGATTTCAAAAGCAAATATTTTAACTTGCAGCCCTGGCTAGTGCTTCCCCACCACCCTCCTCGTGTGTTCCCGCTTTTTCCTGTCAATACCCGGAACCCGGACTTAAACTCAGGAAGCTGTTTGCCGGAACCACGATTTTTTGCCCCCGGCCTCGCTCTCCAAGCTCTAGCCCCTAAACATCGCATGGGCATGCATCATTATGAGTCCACTTACATGCTTTCCAAAGGGGAAAACTCTCAAGTACAGAGCGGAGAGTACTAGTTACTGTAGGTCTTCCGGGAAAAGATCAGAGGAGAACATTTCTTTTGATGTCTCTCTTTTCTTCTCTTTTCCTCTTTCTCATCTGGAATCACCCACCATAGCTGGAACAGCATCTGTCCTCCGCCGCCTTCTCACAACTCCTCATTTTATTATTGCGCTATTTGTTTGCCATACCTCACCAGCAAGCTCCCCGAGAACCAGCGCACCTACCAGCTCCAATAATAATAATAATAATAATAACAAGAAGAAGAAGAGGAGGAGGAGGGGGAGGAGGAATAATAAGAATAAGAATAAGAATAAGAACAATAATATACTACCAGTCGGGCTCGTCACTCGCAGCTTTTTCGCGCCTGCTTCTAAGCTCCACGGTCACGACCCCCAAACAACTCCCAACAACACATACTACTATCTATTGGGCAAGCAAAAGGCTCCTCGCTTGAGAGGTGTTGCAAGCCGGAGGGGGATACGCTGCGGATGGCATCGTTCACAGTTCCCAAGGGAGCTCCATGGCTTCTCTTGTCTCTGGTAGCTACCGCCCTTGCACATGGCGATGAAAATCACGGGCACGGCGGATTGGGGATGGATATAGACATGGGCATGGGCCATGGTGGGAAGGAAGGCTCTAAAATTAATAATAGCAGCAGCACATTCACCTCATCCGACAGCTCCAAGCTTATGAGCTACTTCGCATATGGGAAACACGCAAGCACCATAGCAACTCACATCGCTCTCATGGCCATAGCCTGGTTCTTCATTCTGCCAATTGGTACGCATATAAATAAGCTATACCCCACAGCTATCCACGCATCCACGCATCCACAGACAAGAAGTTGCTTTCTCTGCCAATCACAATAAAAATGGAAGAAGTTAAAAGAGTTTTGCTAACCGCTGTGCGTCCCCGGGTCTGATCGTTTGGTCTTGGTTTGTAGGTGTCATGTTTAGCATCGCTCGATCGCGGCTTGCCTTGCCCACCCAATTTATCTTCTTCATCGTAAATGCCTTCGGGATACTGCTAGCAGTGGTGTATAACAGTCAAACACCCAATCTGTACGATAACAACGTTCATCACAAGATTGGCTGGATTGCGACTTGGGTTATGTTTACGGAGCTTATCATGGGCCTCTTATTTGCGTTTTCCAGTCGTCGTGGGGACGACACGCACCGTGGTCCTTCTTTCGAACGAGTTGCTTTTCTCCCCGTCTCAACAACGGAACCACAGAGCGAGACATACCCAAGCAGGCCTATGCATCAGTACCGCTGGTCCCGTGACAGCGGCCAGGGAACTGAAAGGAATTCCTCCTCCTTGCACAGCCAGAGCTCTTCGCCAGAACGAGGGCGCCGGCTGTCACGACCGGGCGATAACTGTGACGACCTTGAGGAGAAGCCGGATGATGGTGGAGCAGATGACGGAGTTCCCGGAGCGGATGGTGAAGCTCCCGCAGTAAATCTCCCCTTGTTGGGTAAATTCCTCTCAATGCGGCTTCCTGGGCTTCTTCCCAAACGCGCACTTAACGTCATAAGTATTTTTCACGTCATCATCGAGAGAACCATATTGATTATTGGTTTTATCGCGATATCATCCGGAGCTGTGGTTTATGGGGGTATTTTCGTAAGTGGATTTCGCTCTTGTTCTCCTCTATTATCTCGACCGCTAGACACATGGCGATCACCACGTTTCATCACGCAACCTTGGATGTTGGTGCTAATTTTACATGCAGCGTGGTACCAACATCTTCAATGGGCTTGCGCACTTCATCAAGGGTGGAATCTTTTTCTGGTACGGGTTGCTCACTTTGGGTAGATGGATGGGATGTTTCGCGGATGTTGGCTGGGCATGGAATATCAAGCCATCACGTGCCACTGTTGGGGCATGGCGGGCCCGAGTCCCTTCAGGGGAATTTACAGAGTCTTTTGTAATTTTCCTCTACGGCGCGAGCAACGTCTTTCTCGAACATTTGGCAGCTTGGGGGGATGCATGGGTTGCTCAGGATTTGGAACATGTGTCAATTTCCGTCATGTTTTTGGGTGGTGGTTTGGTAAGTTGACAATTTCCATCTTTGAAAAAACGTCATCATAGCCCCTGACCTTACTTCATAAAACAGTGCGGCATGCTGGTTGAGTCAAAACGAGTTCGAGAATGGATGAATGCAACCATTTTACCTGCTACTGCCCACATAGAGAGGTTGCCGGCAGAAGCTGTGGAAGTGCCAGTGTCACAGCGAGTGCCCCTCAACCCAATTCCGGGTCTGGTCATCCTGCTCCTAGGGATGATGATGAGCTCCCACCATCAGACCAGTATGGTGTCGACTATGGTGCATAAACAATGGGGAATGCTTCTCGTCGGATTCTCTCTTGCCAGAGCTGTAACTTACCTCATCCTCTGTCTCAGACCACCCACCTCGTTGCTACCATATCGACCACCCTCGGAACTCATTGCATCATTCTGCCTTATTTCCGGAGGTCTGATTTTCATGTTAAGCGTAAGTTTGATATGAAGGGGATATCTCCCCCGCACAGCCGCAGTATTTTTTTTTTTTTTTTTTGGTTCTTGCTAACACATTTCTTTCTCAGACGAGGAACGTCATCGAAGCTATGGAATATTTCAATCTCAACGCCATGTTCGTATTCACTGTCGGCATGGGATTTACATGTCTCGTCATGGCGTGGGAAATCCTCTGCATTTCTCTCAAGGCATGGGCTACTAAGAAAACAGCCCTTGTCTCCGCTGAAAGGCATCGGTTTCCCGCTTGAATGAACAAATAGGAGCAAAAAAGAAATTTCCAATCTGGATCCTCTGCATCCACCATTACCCCCTTATCCTCCCATTACCTATGTGCCCATGTGACAACGATGTATTTTTTAGCGGTCAATACCATTTCATGTTTGATATTTAGTTTGGCGGCAAGCTATAAAATAATGGAAAGTTAATCTATCTCTCTTATTAGTGCCTTCTTATCCTGAAGGTTCTTCGGAGATTTTCTCTGTGTGTAATGCCGTATGTGCATGTGAATGTGATTAACTTGGCCTCCATAATTATGAGGCCTAACGTTATTTTATTTTTTGGAAATTAGTGACCATAATAATGGAGCGGAGGAAGAAAGAAAGTTTTGCTGAAAATACGAAGGTAAAAAATGAATACCTCTATCTGCTCCATTCAGTGAGGGCCTGACTCATATTTCCGGGTCATCGTTTGTGCTTATGTTTGATGTCTTGATCTGGATCCAATCTTACCAGAGGGTACTCTTGAATAAAATTGTTAAAAAGCAGAGAGAAGACGAACTGTTATTCAAAATTATATACCCTTTATCTCATTATTATTATTATTATTAAGGAAAAAAATGACGATTTGAATAGTTCTGGCTTCGTTCTGATGGGCCAATTCGTTCAAGAATTCTGTGATATTCTCCTCTTCCTCCGTCGGATTGTTCTTTCATTTCATTTTTCGTCTCGTTACCCGTGTTCGAATATTTAAAGCTCTTTGTAATGTCAGGGAGAGCTCATCACTCACCGCTCCATGCAGCATTACCTGCGCATGTGTGTGCTTGTGTATGGGCTTTGAAAATTGAACTATGCGTCTCACAATTAAAGTATATGATGGCCCGGATGTGAAATAAGTAGATCCAGATATATCCATCCATATTATCCAAAAGTGGATGTGGCAAACAAAAGCATGTAGTTCTTCTCCCCCTCAAATTCGCATAGAGAGCCAAAATAGAAAAGTAAGTAAAAGGGAAAAAGTTTTCCAACTTCAATAAAAATCCCATGATTCTACATAAATGTATGTTCATACATACAATATTTTATTCCACGATCCCTTCTGTTCGCGTATACCACATCCATCCACCATCCGCCTCCAATAGAAGTTTCAACACCAATAACCCCTTCAATGACATGAGTAAAAGTCGAAAGAAAATGAGAGGCCTTGCTAACCATCAAATCGAACACATACCCCTGTTCCAATATTCAAACATCAAAGACACTCAGCAATCTTTAAGTATATATCTCTGTCGTAAGCATGAAGAGTATATGGAATACTGTATGCAAATGGCCCCATACTCTGAATTTGCCGGGACACCAGCATTGAGAAATCCGGCGCTGCATTATACGCATTATTGGTTCATTTGTTTGGGTATTGTTGGAATGATCAGGCGGAGAGAAGGGAAGGGGAATGGAATGGAATGGAATGGTGAGGTAAGGGGTAAGTACTATAGGACAAGAAAATTGGGTTTTACCCTGCTCGTAAATGTTCGCTGCTATTAGCAAAAGCAATCCTTCTAAGAGATAATGTGGAATTCCGCTGTGAGAGAAGGTATCGAAGTCGAAGAAGATAGTGGCGTGAGCGACTGGTGCCAAACCCAGATAGCGTTTTGCCAACAAAGATGCCCAAACGGAAACGTTCAGTGTTTTGGGCCTTGTATTCTTTGTTTAAGAGGACAGTGGCGGTAAGAGAACCAAGTACTGTGGTATGGGGATGTAAAATTTGTGTCAGTGGGAGGCTTGACATTTATTTTGGCCATTCCTGAAGCCATTTGGTGGCAAGTGTATGGGGGAAGATATGTTATGAGATAAGAAACGGAAAATATGATAAGACAATGTCAACCAACCATAAATCAATATATGAGCCTAAGACCTTATTCGCCAGTAAAATTTAGAGTAAATACCACTTATAAAATCTCCAAATATTTTATAGGAAAATCCCGATATAATCATTCAAAAGCCAAGTAAGTTCGACCAGGGGAGAATGGTGTTTCAAGTATAACGTAACGATCAAGTCCCCAGACAAGCCATAGCCTTCAACACCTGGAGCAGAAGCCTATCCCCCAATGCTGCCAGAGGATATTATCGAATATATGTCGAAGCAAACTCCACTGGCTAGCAATTGAAACAGCGGCAGGGATGAAATGACTATAGACATTGCACGATTCATTAAGTAGGTATGTCCAACTATGAAAGGCGGCCGCCGTTGGTTTTCACCGGACGTGGTATCCTGTCAGGATAAATCGATTCCGCATCATATCATATGGGGGTCTCTTCTAATACCAGTAGCTTAACTGGGAGTTTCGCTTCCGAGGAGGTTCTGCCGATATTGAGAGAGGGGCAATTTTGGCAAGCGGGCATGGTAGCGCTGTTGGGATGTATATGGGTATCGCTTGTAAGAAAAGGTCAGCTCGTTATCATAACTGATAGGTGGAACGCGGCTTGGGTTCCAATGAGTGTTTGGAGTTGTCTGGAGATAACAGTATCCAGCAGCCGCTCTTCTGAAGAAATAAGCCATCCTTGCCATAGACGAATTTGCTATTCTTTTTTGATAAAGCGCCCAGCTCATATGTCAAGAAATGTTTTGAAGTGTATTTTTATGCTGTGAGTCAGTTCTTCCCGCTTCCAAGGGAAGGGGGAGATACCTACCCGTGGCACCCGCGGAGTATGACATCACATCGTGTCCATAGTTTTGCTTGTATCCAATCCGTCCTTTGAAACTGCCACCAATGGAAAGGAGATGTGGATTAGAGAAAATGGCTAATGTTTAGCAGATTGTATACCATGCAAGGGTATATTCTTTCTCGTTCAAGGCAGATATCACAAATTGCAACATAGGAACGCATGCTCGCAGAACTATTCGTCACAGGCCAAAAAGCCCAACGGACCTTGATCCGAATATGACAAGGTTCTTCGGGTCATCCAGAAATCGAAAGTCCTGTTCCTGGAGAAGCCCCTGTTACGTTCCGTTAACGATTCGAATGCATGCCAAGTGGCAAACATTTGCTAAAGACCGAGATCGGTTGTTGACTGCTTAAAGATAGAAGCGGAAAGGATCCTGGATACTTTTTTTCTTCAACATTGAGTAACAAATGAAGAATGAAAGTGGGAAAGAAAACTATTCCGAAAACCTGTAAAAAAAAAAAAAAAAAAAAAAAAAAGGAAATACTATGGTAACAGCAAGTTATTCATCCGATGGAGTGAAATTTGAGGCAATCAAGCAAGTTGGGACTGATAGCCAGAAGGCTTGTTCCTCAATGAAATATATAAAAAATATATTGAATAGTCGTGGTTCCAAGGTTAACTCCAAATTCGTGATCTTGTCCGGGATCAATTCCCAGAAGGTTTCATATGATTGAAGATTAGCCGATGGTAACAGGGCAATAAAGTGTCGGGGATTGCGGGCCCCCATATTTATGCGAGTTGGCTATTTCAGGTCCTGGCGGCATTATAAGCTGCTAAATAACCGAAGATTGAATCAGCTTTTATAAAGATTTTGGCTTTTAAAACAATTTTGTAGAACAAAAATTCTTAAAAACTAAGTTATATTTCTCATAATTTTTGCAGATTAACCCGCTCGTTTTGTCTTCAAAGAAGGGGGATTTGGAGTATGTTACGACAAACCGAGGCTAAGTAACAAGTCGCACGACTTGGAGGGCGGGACGGGCCGAATCGTGAGACTAGACGTTCAATTGAGGAGGCAGAATATAGGTAGTATCAACTGTTGTATAGAAACCTCTTTAAAGAGAACGTTCTCTAGAAGCGTTCGTTCCTTATAAGCGTTCGAAGCCTCCAATGTTAGAGCAGAGATGAGGCTTGGAATCTGTAACTAATTAGTTATTTGTCAATATTATATTCGCTGAGAGCCCAGCCATGGCTGCGCGTTTCAGGAAGTATGAATGCTCCCAACCGTTGATGTCAACATCTCTGCTGCTGCTGGAGGCAAAGGCGTTGGAGGTTGAACAGTTCAGGTTCGAGGTTCGATGTTTAGTTCGTTTAATTAGTGAAGGCTTGTCGACCATGCGGCACCTGATTAGGTGTAGCGTCCGTCCCAGCCGCGGAGTTCCAAAAAGTTGCCCTGGAGTCAAAACCGCTGAACCGCCTACCGGTTTTCCCGAGCTTCTGTATACCCAGCGTCGTCTCTGCCCCCCAATTGACCATTCCCCACGGGCTTTTCCTTCTCTCTCCTCTGCCTGTGTTTGGGAGCAAGTGAGGCAGGCTGAAGGGCAGTCTCCTTGCTCAAAAATCAACTTGCGTCGTTCCTTACAATACATCGAGCTGGTTGCGAAGTACGACCGACCACATCTCAACTCGTGATAGAAATAAATACACGGATTTGCGACGAAAAAGCACAAGCAAAAAGAAGAGAAATCAAAAAGGGAAGAAGACAAGGCAAACGATTCCTACGATTCCCCCGCATCACGAACTCGTGCAAATCATTGATTGCTCCGTGCTTTTGGCTGCTGCCCTGATTGTCGTTGAATCAAGATATAGAGTCTCTTCAGTTTTGTGGAACCGAATAACAACGCAGCAGCTTTCCATGTCCCTCACATCCGCCTACATCTTACCTCGAATGATTGCAATCCAACCTCAAAAACTCTCTCTACATCTCTTGTATTATTTTTGACGACTATTCTGCACAGATTTACTTTTCTTTGAAGTCGGCTCAGCCTCAATATCAAATCCCAATTGAATTCCCCGGCCGTCGCATCAACGCTGTATCTAATTACTTACAGCCATTGGCTACCTATTGTTATTTCCTTTTCCCTTTTTGTTCTCTTTTTTCTTTTTTCTTCTTCTTCTCTTTTCTTTTTTAATTCAGAAGCAAGACGATAACAAAATATCCAATGGCGAACCCGCTTCCGCCCCTCCCGTTTAACCCGGCACGATTTCGTTCGTATATACTACGCCTGCCATTATTTACACGCGTTGTCCTTTTAATTATCGGGATAGTTTGGGTGTTGGAGATCCAGACGATATGGAATGTGGTACAATGGGGAGCACTCATACCCAGCGAGACTAGACTGGCATCGAGTACGTATACTATAGTTTGCCTCTTCTATATATTGCTATGGACTGGGTGGACAAGCATCTTTCGGAAACTTTGAGATTTTAATCCTGGAGTATTCATTGGGTTTACTAACATAGGTCATTGAAGTGTACCGTCTTAATACTTATCCAATCATTCATAATGGATTGTTCCATACGTTCTGGAATATTTTGGCTCTAACACCACTTTTGGAGAGATTTGAGGCGGAACATGGGACACTTACATCTGTAGCATTGTTTATTGGACGTATGTGTTTTTGGTTTCGAATCTCCAAGTACACTACCGGGGAGAGAACGTTTGAGAGAGACTGACAATCCTTCCTCCTAGCATTTTCAACTCTGCCTGCAGGGCTATACCTGCTCGTCGAGAAGGTTATCTTAAGGGGCAACACTCCTGTGCTGGGCTCCAGGTATGCTCTCCAAGTTCGAGGAACTACTTTATTCCACGGATAGGGCTGACATCAACCTTTACAGTGTCTGGATATTCTTGCTTCTGGGAGTTGAGGCAATAAAAACATTCCAAACAAACCCTCATTTTGTGTTAGTATCCGCCTCCTCGTACCCTCTAACTTGTTCCCTATCCGGCTGCCAGTTTCTAACGTTCACCATACAGTTTGGGATCGTACAGAATACCAACATGGACAACGCCATTGTTAATAGTCCTTGTGGTATTTGCCCTGATTCCCAACACCAGTTTCTTGGGTCACCTTTGTGGTGTCGCTATTGGCTATCTTTGTAAGTTCTTTCCTTCACAATTTCTAGCTGTTGGTCAATTTCTCACTGGTGTATCAAACAGTCGGACTGGGGTACCTGAAATTCCTCGTCCCTCCCGAGAAAATTCTTCGCTGGATCGAAGGGAAACTGAACCTTCTCGGAAGACTGCCTCACTACGTATCGGTTGATCAGAAAACATATGGAAGATATGGACTCTTGCCCACGAGGAACCCTACGACAAACGAAGATATTGTGGGAATGTCCATTCCACTGGGGTCTACACAGCGGTTGGGTCCATAAGCATATTTAGCAAATTTGTATGAGTGTATAAACATCTTATTGTATATATATAGATATATATATATTTAAAGAGAAAAGGAACATCCACTGGTTTTATTCTGGGAGATTGGCATGTATAGTACGTATATTTGGAGATTGATAGCACAGGTGGTCTCTGTGGTCAGCCGTAAACATTTACCTATCCTCGCTTCAACCTCCGCAATTTCGGAGATCCAAGCTCCATCTGCGCATATACGCCCCATCGGTATAAGTATTTTATGGCCTTGAAGGGAATGTTTCTCGAACGTTTCTCCTTCAATGGCTTTAATATGTAAGAAGTAGACAAATTCCAAATTTCCATCCCTCACTAATACTTCCTGCACCATACATGTTTCACTGACCAGATTGCGCTAACACACCGGAATCAAACACAGCGAATTTAATCTTCAGGCTGCGCCGTGATCCACGCCTGTTGTATAAGTTCCCGTCGTACCTATCCGTCTTCTTTGTCATTGTCGGGGTTGTCTGGCTTCTTCTCCTCCCACTCAACGAGTTCTCCCGCAAAACATACATCTCCGAAAACGCGCTGTTACCGGGACAGGTACACACGTATTTTACGGGGAGCGAACAGAATGTGTTTCGAGGATTCAGGCGGGAACTTGATATGGTGAAGGATGTGGAGTACGAGGTGTATGTGGTTTTCAGTTTGTTAATTGGTAGATTTAAGGTACCCTTGTCAAGCAAGAGATCTTAATCTCCACTTGCATCAACAAATTCGTCGGATTTTCTTCTTGATTCCGTGGGTGGTCAGATAGCTAACTGCTCTCCCCACTGTGCTGCCACTATTGCAGGATTTCGCAAAAGATCCAGTCAATATTTCGAGAATCCGGTCTGAAAGTCGCGACTCAAAACTATGAATACCGATCAGCTGGGAACACACATGCCGGGCAAAATGTCTACGGAGTTATCCATGCTCCACGGGGAGATGGCACAGAAGCTATAGTTCTAGTCACTTCATGGAAGACTACTGACGACAAGCTCAACCTCAATGGCGTGGCTTTGGCCTTAACTCTAGCTAGATATTTCAAACGTTTGTCTCCCCCTCCTCAATCAAATCTGAATCATGGATTGGTAACGGTGCTAACATTACAAGGCGATAGGATGGTCACTATGGTCCAAAGATATCATCTTTCTAATCACTCCAGACAGCAAATCCGGTGTGCAGGCATGGGTTGATGCCTACCATGACATGCACCCCACTTCAGTTCAACCCCTTCCCCTGAAGAGCGGTGCCTTGCAGGGAGCTTTAGTGTTCGAATACCCCTTCGATCACGCATTTGAATCTATCCACATCATGTACGATGGAGTCAATGGGCAACTACCAAACCTAGATCTTTTCAACACTGCTGTTGTAGTATCCACCGAACAGATGGGTATTCCGGCACACTTACAGCAAATGTTCGAGCACGATGACAGCTACAAAACGCGCCTGCAGACCATGCTTCGAGGTATGGTGAACCAAGGGCTGGGGAGTGCAGCAGGCCCCCATAGTAGCTTTATACCCTACCACATTGATGCAATTACGCTCCAAGCAGTCGGTCACGGGTGGCAGGATGAGATGGCTCTAGGTAGGACGGTGGAAAGTCTTGTGCGCAGCTTAAATAACCTCCTGGAACATTTCCATCAGAGTTTTTTCTTCTATATTCTAATGCAGACGCACCGATTCGTCAGCATTGGGACGTATCTTCCCAGTGCCATGTTGATCGCCGGGAACTTCACCATTATGGCCGTTGCTTTGTGGATGAAGAGTGGAGTGCGGGCTCCTGCAAGCGACAATGAAGATTCAGCTGTTCCCGAGAAAGCAAGAGTGAGTGGAGGGAAGGATGCTACTATCACAGGTGCTACAGGCGCCGGACAGGAGGGCAATGGCATTATGGAGCGACATTTGGCGTTGCCGCTGGCCTTAATGTTCGGGTTACACCTACTTGGTGTCATACCGCTCTATTCTTTCAACAATATCTTCCATCAAGTAAGTTCATTAATTTCGTACAATATGAAAATAAGCCTCGAAACTAACCCAAGTTTACTTCTCCAGTACTTCGAACGAGCTACCTATCTTCTAGCCTTCATAAACATTTTCCTTCCCATAGTCCTCGCCGCCGTCTTAACCCGCTTCTTTTCCCCAACTGCCCAACAGTTCCTGCTCATAAAATCCTTTTCCCTCCTCCTCCTAGGCCTCTTCCTCTCCGCCCTTGCAACGCTAAACTTCTCCCTATCTTTCATGATCGGCCTCTTATGCACTCCCCTATCTCTCATCGGACATATCCAAAAGCAACCTACCCAAAACGCAGCGCATTCCCAATCGTCAAACTCGACCAACAAAGCTCAAAAAGCAACCCCTTCCTCAACATCAGTCGCCACTATCCTCCTATCAGTGGTAGGGCTTATCCTCATGAATCTAGTTTCCCCAACTACAGTTCTGCTGGCCGCTTGTAGGTACTGGCAAATTCCAGTGTCAACTTTACTCACCGAGGCGGCGTTCGGATGGAATGTATGGGGGATGTGGACGCAGGTGATTGTTTGGTGTGTATGGTGGCCAGCTTGGCTGTGTGGATGTTTGTTACTTGCTTCCTCGGTTTTCTGAGGTCGAGTGAAGCTTTGAGGTGAATGGGACTGATGGAGCTTGAGATTTATTTTCAATTCTGAATTCATTTTAGCTCATGACATATGTCAGGCCTTACTGCACCATGTCGTTATCCCCCCCTCCGTGAACAGCTAAGAGCTGTTGAGGTTTCCCAAAGGCTATCTGTGACTATAAACATAGCAATCAATCTGAGAACATATACTATCTAAATGTCCTACAAATATCTCCTCTAAGTAGAGCCAGGAACAATCCCGTTTCAAGGGTGGATTCGGGAGCGAAAAGGAACTCTCCAGTGCGAGAAAGACACGAGCTATCACAAAATGGTAAAGGTAAAGCTTCTCCCAAGGCAAACTTCAAATTCATATAGGATTTATAGTCTCCACAGTCGGATAGATGATAAAACTCCGAAGAACGTGTAATGCGTAGTATATCTAAAACAGACAGAAGCATGAATAGACTACGCGGCCCAAACGTCCTTCCCAACTCCCTCAATCCAGTGACCAAGCTGGTTAACTCCAGCATCCCACTCACGCAACCGATTCCGCATTCCTTCGGTCTGACCCATGTCCAGAACCTTGGGTTGCACCCAACTGATCCGTGCGATCTGGGCAACTTGATCGATAGTGCCCTTGAGAAGGCCCAAACTGAGCGCCTTCATGATCAAATGCTCGATCTCATTAGGCTGCACTTTCGTTTCTTCAGATATGGTTGCAAATGTCATTGTGCGGTCATGCGGGGGTCGTCGGAAAACCATCTCCGTCAGCGCGGCCAGAGAGATCTTCTGGTATAAAAAGATCTTGTGCTGCTCCAAAAGTTCGTTTTTGCTGGTGTTCCCCGCTAAGACGTCGTAGGCTGCGAGGTCACCGCGATTAAATGCGAAGAGCAGGTCGCGGAGCCAGGCATGTTGTGTGTGTTTGAGAGAGTCGAGGACGGGGTGCAAGAGGAGTTCGCCAAAGTTGTAGATGGAGTCGGATACGAGAGCGGCTATGCTCAGGTCGTATGCTCGAGAGGCGCATTCCTCTTCTGTCAGATCTTTGACATCCACGCAGGCAAGGTAGAGGAGCGCGTTTTTATAGTAGGAAGCAAATTCGAGCTTGGCCTTATTTATACAAAGAAGATATGGTCAGAAATGGTATTAGAAATAATATGGCTTATGCGTTTTTTTTTTTTTTTTTTTTTTTTTTTTTTTTGGGGGGGGGGGGGGGGGGGGAAGACATACGTGGTAATAGTCCGCATTAACTTTGTAGAATGCGGCATGCACAACGGTCTCTACAGAGTCAAAGGAATCCAACACTCCTTCTGAGGCGTCTAGATCCTTCCGCGCTCCCTCAAAATCTTTCAACCGCAGCTTAACACTAGCTACATCTGCCATAGCATAAACATATGCATCTTGAGACCCGGGTTTATTCACTCTGTCCGCCAACGATGTGAGGAATGTGAGACGCTCTTGGTCATCTACAATCACATAGTTAGCCTTGAGATCCTCTACATCCGACCTCACGAACCCAAACTTTCACTCCAAATCGCAAATACGAACCATCACATTGTGTAGATGCCATTAACCCCAGTGTTACAAACTTCAGCTGATTGATCTTGTCTGCAAAGCTAAGGATGAAGTTCTTGAAGATCGCTAATCTCTGCGGAGCGCTCTCAGGGAGACAGAAAAATTCTATCAGCGCATTCGTAAGCTGATGCCATAGTTTCCGCTCCCAGAAGTCCTCGAAGGCTAGAAATGTTTCATGAGATTCGCTGAGAGCTTCTTCGCGCTGCTCAGCGAGAAATTCGGGGATTTTGTCAGCCTGCATGGCAGGCAGTGAGAGGGAGCTGATGATGTTCGGAAATGTAGAAGGTGTAAACCGGGCTATAATAAAGTAATTCGAGAGAAGGAAGAGGCTTTGGAGGCGGTCCTATTTATTTCAAGGGAAGTTGTTGTCTTTGGAAGACCGTTGGGATATATTTGTTGCTGTTTGTCTCCCTATTGTCTGGTGGTTGATGGTTGATGGTTGATGGTGGGGCTGGATGAAGCTTGAAGTGGATGAATAATCACGGCCTGCTTGAACCCCACCAAAGGATCAACAAAGACAACACAGCAACTCCTTTTCAAGAAGCAAGTTCACGTCTGATTTGGTTGGCTGTTTACGCGAGATCTCAAATATACCACTGTCTTGTGATATGCAAAAACTTAATCTGAGTTGGTGAATTAAAAATACCTTCTATCCCTTGACGCAGAAACAGGTCTCCGCCAAATGTATGCTACCCCCAGAGCTTATAGAGCGTACGCCTGGATTATAATAAGGCAGCAAGGTGATACAATCTATCAAGGTCAACTGGCCACTAATTGTACATTTCACCAACTGCGACTACATACACTCAGTTGTTGACATACGCGGTCGCGAGAGCTCAGCATTTGCCCACGAATTGAACATGCCTGTAAAACGGCCGGTTATCAGCACAAGATGAACACCATACTTCCAACCTGGTCGCTGATACTTAATGTTTCCACTGCTCAGCCCCCCAAAAATATTCAATTGATTCTGAGCTAGAGATATGGCTTTATTCAATCATTCTGACTATGCGCCTGTTACCGCATGGTTCAGCTGTTTCTATAACAACACCCACCGTTCCGCTCGCATCTCCCACAGACTGTGGTTTTGGCATCCTGGTTGACTGAGATATCGCCGAGATATCTCTGGGGGCTAGCTCCACATATCAAAAAAGGAGATTGGTTTAGTTGTATAATACATCCTAGCTTTAATATTTTTGGCTCATAGTTTGCTTAATTTCATGGTATGAAAATGTGATTGCAATCCATCCCCCAAATATCTCACCCCCTAATGAGAATTTTACCCCCTATTTCTCCCATCACAGTCTTGTGGACGGGATCGCGTACTTGGTAATTCGTAACTGAACATCTATCCAACATGCTTCGAGCAAGTGACCCTTGTTGTCTCATCACCCAGATAACTGATCGTTCCAGATTGTGCGTCTCTCAGAAAGATGATGTATCCGTGTGCTTGAAGATTGTTACGTCCCAGGGTTCTTCTTCGCCACCACTAGGGGGAAAGGAGAGGCGCCAGTCAATATGTAGACCTGCTGAGTGTAGATATTGTGTACAGATGTGTAGATGGCCTTGAAGATTATTCGGTCCGCCCTTCGATAAACTTGGTTACCGTGGAATAAATAATAATATTTCTAGTTGAATTCATTGTGAGTTGGTGCACATTCAAATGCAACTTAACGCACGGAACTGCGAACCTGCAACTATTCCCTTTTGGGATTGGCGCATAGTCCCCATCAACTCCATTTAAACATCCCGCAATATAAAACAGTATATAGACAGCCCTAAACTACATACAACGCCCCTGGAGCGCCATCCTACCTTCGTGATTGTTCCCCTGGTGGTTTTCCGACAGCTTTTGACCCCCTGATTTGGTTGGGTGGTCAATTGATTGGATTACAATGCAAAAGTGCCGCGCCATCCAGGGCGCTCTGGGCTCCAGGGCAGTCACCCCACTGCCTTCAGTTCGAGCCCAACCTCACATCCAACGCCGAAATATACAAGATGTCTATATCACTCGGACCGGGACGCCAATTATAAAAGTCCAGGGTGGACGGTATGGGCTATTTGCTCCGTTGTGATTGGGTAGAGTGCTAACGGATTTGGTGATCCATTAGGTCCTCCATTGGAGGTAATTGACCAACAACTTCTCTCGCACAAGCGTCCTTTTAACTCGATGGCTTTCTAGGGCATACTGCTACGGTCTTCGGCGCTACGGGTTTTTTGGGCCGTTATATCGTGAATAGACTCGGTATGACATATCTATGTTTTGGACGACATGCGGAGCGGACGAGATTGTTAACGGATAGCGTTCATATAGCTCGCCAGGGATGTACCGTGGTCGTGCCTTACCGAGAGGAAATGGCTAAGCGCCATCTTAAAGTCACCGGCGATTTGGGAAGAGTTGTCTTCATGGTGAGATTCAATCGAAGAATGCCGCAATAAGTGGCCCAACCCGCTTATCCGTTCATTTATAGGAGTACGACTTGCGAAACACACAGTCAATCGAAGAGAGCGTGCGCCATTCAGACGTCGTATACAACCTTGTGGGAAGAAAATATCCGACAAAGTATGTGATTTCGAGCATATCATCCGATTATTGGACTTTCTTATTGAGCATCTCTCTACAGAAATTTTTCGTACGAGGATGTCCACATCGACGGCTTGGAGCGAATTGCTGAAGCTACTGCTAAATATGATGTCGATCGCTTCATCCACGTTTCCTCATACAACGCGGACCCGAATTCCCCCTCTGAATTCTTCCGAACCAAAGTAGGTGTCTAGAAGACAGATGGTAGTGCGCACCCAACTAATTCTCCAATTAGGCCCGAGGCGAGCAGCTTGCTAGGTCCATATTTCCCGAAACTACCATTGTTAGGCCAGCGCCGATGTTTGGATTCGAGGATAACCTGCTTCACAAACTGGCCAGCATAACCAACCTGTTCACGTCTAACCATATGCAGGAGCGATACTGGCCAGTCCACGTAGGTTACTTTTCCACGTCTATGGAATGATCATGGCTGACCATTTTCTCTAAAGGTCATTGACGTTGGCCATGCTCTTGAGAAAATGATGTTTACAGATGCATCAGTGGGGCAGACATACGAGTTGTATGGACCAAAGAACTACTCGACCGCTGAGATTGCCGAACTTGTTGACCGCGAAATCATCAAAAAGCGTAGACATCTCAATGTGCCCAAGCGCATCATGAAACCAGCAGCCTACTGGGCCAACAGACTCCTTTGGTGGCCAGCAATATCTGCGGATGAGGTTGAGATGGAATTTCTAGACCAGCAAATTGATCCATCCGCCAAAACTTTCAAAGATCTGGACATCGAGCCTGCTGAAATAAGCAACCTGACATTCCACTACTTGGTATGTAAATTCCAGTACAATCTGCTTGTTTCTCTCTGCTATGAGCTTAAGACTTACTCGTTTTTACAGCAAGGGTACCGCAGTTCCCAATACTCCGACCTACCACCAGCCTCGGAGCGTGAGAGAGCGGAAGAGAAGAAATACCTGCACGTCCTTGACGACCAGTAGTTCACTGCCATTCCCTACAACGTGTCTATACTCATACTTCACTAGACACAACCAATTCCAAGTTTCTTTTGTTCCGTGTATTTGATAGAGATTCTCTGAATTCGTTGTATTCTATATTTCGGCTAATTTAGTAGAGATCCCAACGGAGAACCGTGAAAGAAAACATATACCTGCAATACCAATAACTAAGCTTTTATATTTTGAATCAAATTGCTCTAGTAGCCAT